TATTCACATTCACCCAAAATGTTACATTAAGTTCTTCAAACAAACTAGCTCAGCTCGTTTTCACCCGAAAAGATGGAGGAAGACTCGTGGACTGCGTCAACATGAATATCATATAAAAGCCGAACGGCTGCAGTACAGCGATTGTCAACCGTCCTCATCTGGTAAATTTGACAAACGAATCTTTTATTCATGCACTTTCATTTGAAATGAAGGTCCCCCTAACAATGATATTTCAGGAGATTCATCGAAACCAAGTTTCTCTTCGTATCTATAATATGGACTCCCCTAGGTCATAATGTAAATTTGACTCTTTTGCGAAAACAAATTCAAGAAACTTCTAAATTAATATTCAGCTTGTCGAATATGCCTAATAACATGTTTATGTACAAAATTCCAATGACCCCAGAATTTATCTGTATTGCACTAAGTTAAACTTTTATTTCTCTATTAGCCGAAATGTAAATAATCTATGAAAAATTGTGTTGACATTGATATATTCATATTATAATTATTGTTTAAAGTGACAATTTTTCTGTTTTAAATGTATGCTGATTAATTGCGTCGAAAAAACGACTATACTAAAACTGTTTATTGTTTTACTTTTCTTTACGAATGACGCCTTTTCAAAATGCCGATCTTCATGCGCCCTGCCGTTTCCGTTCTTTCAAGTTTCTCAAAAATATCTAGTGGCTCCATAGATACAAGAGATGTTGTTGTCCCTGGGCAACTTATATCTTTTGCTGGCGATAATTTAATCACTGGACATGGAACATTTAGAAATGTTGACAAAATAAATACTCCTAAAACCTTCACGGATCAGGAAGGCTCTCTGGAGTTGAGTATACCAGAATGCCAAAATCTCCAAATGCGGGCCTCTCTAGCCGGTCGTGTTAAGGCGGTCAACAAATTAGTATATGTTGAACCATTAAAAGCGCGATATTCTGGCAACATCGGAGAAACTATCGTCGGTAGAATTATTGAGGTATATAGACTGTCTGAATATATCGCTTTGGAATATTTGTTTATCACTATTAAGTTTTATACTTTCTAGCTTATACCGCGTCTTTATCGTTTTTTTCATTTTGTCTTTGTAAAGATTAAATTGATTTTATGGGCAAAGATTCCTTGGACATATACTTAACAAATATTTAAAAATCTAGCGCATAATACGATTCAACGCATCGGAATATGGTGATTATTCCATGTTACTTGCTTTTTACATTTTTTTTAGGTCGAACAACGTCGTTGGCGCGTTGATGTGAATTCATTTCAGGTAGCAAACTTATCCCTTGCTAATGTAAAATTACCAGGAGGCGAAATGCGTAGGAAATCTGAGGATGATGAGCGTGCTATGCGCTCATACATAAAGGTATGAAACCTTAATTGCTTAATTAAGATTTTTCGAATCACTCATTTTCATTGATAGCAATTTCTTAGCTTTTTGGAGAATATTTTAATAAGTCATTTGCTCATTATTTATACTCGAATTTTAGACTATTCCTTACTTAATCATCATCACTTATTCGTTTTACCAATTCGAACTGTACAATTTTAACCAAATCATGCCTGGGGATCCCAGACAATATACGCCCGGGCACGACGGGAGTTGCGGCTACCTTTATCTTATTCGAATTTATTATGCCCTATGTATGACTTCATTAAGTATCATCCAATTTTAGTCTCTTATA